CATCGCTCACCTGTTATTAATCTAACACTTGTAATCTTAAGATTTCATAAGAACCTATTAAAAGATTTAAACATATGACGCCTCTGACCTTGATTGTCGAACAAGGACATTAGGTTGAAAGTGGATCAAGGTCATTCATTTGAACTAACATGGTAATCCTTCATCCCAGCATGCTACAGGCCCAATTTCAGTACCCTGGCCCTTTTGCTTATTGAAAAGAAGTCGCTTGAAGATTTTACGACATTTGACCCCTGTGACCTTGAAAGTTGGTCAAGGTCATTCAGTTGAACAAACTTGATAGTCCTTCATCCCAGCATGCTACAGGCCCAATATCAGTACCCTGGGCCTTTTGGTTATTGAGAAGAAATTGTTTGAAGATTTTAAGACATCTGACCCCCAGTGACCTTGAAAGTGGGTCAATGTCATTCATTTGAACAAACTTGGTAGCCCTTCATCCCAGCATGTTACTGGCCAAATATCATCACCCTAGGCCTCTCGGTTATTCAGAAGAAGTTATTTAAAGGTTTTAAACATATTTGACCCCTGTGACCTTGAATATAATTCAAGGTCAAATATTTGAACAAACTTTGTAGCACTCTATATCGGCATGTTACTGGCCAAATATCTTTATCCTATGCCATTAGGTTATTCAGAAGAAGTCGCTCAAAGATTTTTAACATATTTGACCCCTGTGACCTTGACAATAGATGAAGGTCATTTATTTGAACAAACTTGGTAGCCCTTCATCCAAGCATGTTTACTGGCCAAATATCATTACCCTAGGCCTCTCGATTATTCAGAAGAAGTTATTTAACGGTTTTAAACATATGTGACCCCTGTGACCTTGAATATAAATCAAGGTCATTTATTTTAACAAACTGGTAGACCTCTATTTCAGCATGTTACTGGCCAAATATCATCACCCTAGGCCTTTCGGTTATTCAGAAGAAGTTTTTTAAAGGTTTTAAACATATTTGACCCCTGTGACCTTGAATATAAGTCAAGGTCATTCATTTGAACAAACTTGGTAGCCCTTCATCTCAGCCTGCTCCTGGCCTAATATCATCATTCTAGAACTTGCAGTTATTTAGGAGAAGTTGTTTAAATGTCTTTAACATATTTTACTCCTGTGACCTTGAATATAAGTCAAAGTCATTCATTTGAACAAACTTGGTAGCCTTTTAACCTAGCATGTTACTGGCCAAATATCATCACCCTAGGCCTCTTGGTTATTCAGAAGAAGTTGTTTAAATGTTTCCAATATATTTGACGCATGTGACCTTCAATATAAATCAAGGTCATTTATTTGAACAAACTTGGTAGCCCTTCATCCCAGCATGTTACTGGCCAAATCTAAGCACCCTAGGCCTCTCGGTTATTCAGAAGAAGTTGTTTAAAGGTTTTAAACTTATTTGACCCCTGTGACCTTGAATATAAGTCAAGGTCATTCATTTTAACAAACTTGGTAGCCTTTCAACCTAGCATGTTACTGGCCAAATATCATCACCCTAGGCCTCTTGGTTATTCAGAAGAAGTTATTTAAAGGTTTTAAACCTATTTGACCCCTGTGACCTTGAATATTAGTCAAGTTCATTCATTTGAACAAACTTGGTTGCCCTTCATCCCAGCATGTTTCTGGCCAAATCTAAGCACCCTAAGCCTCTTGGTTATTGAGAAGAAGATGTTTAAATATTTTAACGTATTTGACCCCTGTGACCTAGAAAATGAATGAAGGTCATTTATTAGAACAAACTTGGTAGCCCTTCATCCCAGCATGTTACTGGCCAAATATCATCACCCTAGGCCTCTCGATTATTCAGAAGAAGTTATTTAAAGGTTTTAAACATATTTGACCCCTGTGACCTTGAATATAAATCAAGGTCATATATTTGAACAGACTTGGTAGCCCTCTATATCAGCATGTAACTGGCCAAATATCTTTATCCTATGCCTTTAGGTTATTCAGAAGAAGTCGTTCAACGATTTTAACCTATTTGACCCCTGTGACCTTGACAATAGATGAAGGTCATTTATTTGAACAAACTTGGTAGCCCTTCATCCCAGCATGTTACTAGCCAAATATCATCACCCTAGGCCTCTCGGTTATTCAGAAGAATTTATTTGAAGGTTTTAAACATATTTGACCCTGTGACCTTGAAAATAGATGAAGGTCATTCATTTGAACAAAATTGGTAGCCCTTGATTCCAGCATGATACTGGTCAAATATCATCATCCTAGGCCTTTTGGTTACTTAGAAGAAGTTGTTTAAAGTAAAAAGTTGACAGACGGACGACGGATGCCGGCCCATGGCATAAGCTCACTTGCCCTTCGGGCAGGTGAGCTAAAAATTATACTAGTCTTCGTGTTTTGTTTTATTTATATATGGGTCAAAGAAGTAATATAGACGGTAAAATCCCATATAACGCTGGATCCTAATGGAGGTATGTCCGTAGGATACAAATTACTTAAAATAGTATTTTAAATCAGATTATTTAACAGTAAACACTGCACACAATACACAAGTACTTTATTGTAGGCCCAATTGAGTGCTTTTAGGTCCTATATCTTTTCATAAACTTATGTATTTTTATTAAAACATTAAAACAACACTGTCTGGTGTTAAGGTTCTCCAGACAAGGATCAGGAGACTTATACAACATCACAACTAGTAAAATATATCTGACAGGAGACATATACAGCATCACAACTAGTAAAATATATCTGACATGAGACTTATATAGCATCACAACTAGTAAAATATATCTGACAGGAGACTTATATAGCATCACAACTAGTAAAATATATCTGACAGGAGACTTATATAGCATCACAACTAGTAAAATATATCTGACAGGAGACTTATATAGCATCACAACTAGTAAAATATATCTGACAGGAGACTTATATAGCATCACAACTAGTAAAATATATCTGACAGGAGACTTATATAGCATCACAACTAGTAAAATATATCTGACAGGAGACTTATATAGCATCACAACTAGTAAAATATATCTGACAGGAGACTTATATAGCATCACAACTAGTAAAATATATCTGACAGGAGACTTATATAGCATCACAACTAGTAAAATATATCTGACAGGAGACTTATATAGCATCACAACTAGTAAAATATATCTGACAGGAGACTTATATAGCATCACAACTAGTAAAATATATCTGACAGGAGACTTATATAGCATCACAACTAGTAAAATATATCTGACAGGAGACTTATATAGCATCACAACTAGTAAAATATATCTGACAGGAGACTTATATAGCATCACAACTAGTAA